GAGTATCAAATCTATGCTTACGCTTACGGACTAGATGAAAGACCTTGCAGGTACTTGACTTACACTGAGAAAGAGAGACGGGCATTCTGAACACGGCAGGCCCTCAGTAAATACCTAACTGCAGGTAATATGTTCAGAAACTAGGTGAACAAATTGAGGCATTTAGCACCACGAAAACACAAAACCCCGTCTGCAAATCTGATGTTGTGCTATCACCGAAGGCCATCACAACCAGCAGACAGAAAGTGAACCATATCCATGTTAGGCTTCAAAAAGTAAGATTCTCTGGGAAGTTGCCAGAACATTCAAGGCTGAAGATAGTCCATCTACACTGCATTTCAAATCTGAAGTTGGCTTTACTCTAGACCACCATCCTAGAACCCCCCAGTCTCACCCCAGAGTTACTGATATTTGAATGAGCCAAAGATCCTGCATTCAAAACCAAGTGCTAACTGCACACCACCCCCATCCCCTTCAAAATCAACTCCCCTGTTAGAATATTCCCCCTGATAATGGGCAGATATGTGATAACGCAAACCAAGCAAACCAGTGATTACAGAAAGTAGGTGGTATGGTATGTGGGTGTTCACTGCACAATGTGTTCAACTTCTCTACATGTTTGAATTTTCATAGGAAGATGCTACTGACACGCAGTAACTGCCAAGAAAGCAGGACTCGGAAAAGAACATCTTTCTAGACCAACAGCAATGATCAGCAAAGCTACCTGGTGAGGCGGAGGGAAAAAATGAGGAAGGACCAAGAGTCTAGATGACTCATGTAAAAGGCAGATCATAAAAGGTCAATTTATGGTTTCTGAAATGGACTCCACTTAACCCAACCCCAAACTTTTCTGGGGCTTATCATTTGAAATTTGAAGAAAAAGAGGGGAGGTAGGGGAAGTACAATTTCACCAACCTAGATCAGAGTCAAATACTAAACCTAAATTAGGAAACGAGTGCAGAAACCAAATACTTTACAACAGGTTAAGAATAAATGTGGAACCCGTCTCAAGAAGCAAACACACAGACAATTCCTAAAGAGCTTAAACAGGTCCAGGGGTCACATCATCACCGCTGCTAGACGGATGCAGAGTAACGGCTTACATTCCTGTGAGGGTGACATCATGGAAGGCATTGATCATGGTCCGCTAAGAGTTCCTGGACAGCAACGTCAGACCCCAGGCTCACTGACTGCCAGCCTGATCTGGACACCATTTTGTGTAATGAGTGAAATGGGGGGGGGGGGGGAGGTTCAACTCATTCCCGCCCGTCCTTGTAACCAACTGAAACCAAACACCACTATTAAAAGCATTGTTTACATCTGTTCCAATGCGACATGCTATCTATCCTAGTAAGCTAAGGGCAAGTCTGGGACAGAGGGCCCCTACACAGACGTGTAAGTACTATGTTCTGGAAGGACTATTTTAACAAAATTAAAAAAAAAATCAAATTTCATCTCGTATTTTACACCCAATGCAATTAGACTGCTATATAGAATACAATCCATTTAGAATATAGGATGACTGAGCTACAGGTTTTTAACTGTAATCCTTAAGGAACTGAAATATTTAGTATTTACATATATAACATATAGTATTTGTGTTGTTGTTATGTGCTGTCGAGTCGGACCTGACTCGTAGCGACCCCTCCTTGGGTTTCCGAGGCAGTATCACTACAGAAGTAGATTGCCTCATCTTCCTTCCGAGGAGCGGCTGGTGGGTTTGAACCGCCAGCCTTCTGGTTAGCAGTCAAGTGCCTTACACACTACGCTACCAGAGCTCCTGTATAGTATTTAGAGTATCTAAATATTTTCAAATAAGCAAGATTCAATCCATTTGCCTCTATTGCTTAAAATACCCTCAAATTGCTTGAAATTGCACAAAATTGTCTTCTTCTCCCCACAAAATTAGACCCACACTTAGAGCTTTAACAATTTTAGAATAACAGAGCATTCCAACTATATCACCAGGAATATATTTATTCTGTTAAAAGCTGAAAAATATTTTCATACAGAAAACTATGCATTTAGTTTCCGCTGAGGTAGTATTTGCTGCTTACTATCCCTTATTGCAAGTAACAGGAGCTCTGGTAGCATAATGCCTAAGGCACTTGACTGCTAACCAGAAGGCTGGCGGTTCAAACCCACCAGCCACTCCTCAAAAGGAAGGCTGGGCAATCTACTTCCATAGTGATACTGCCTCGGCAACCCAAGGAGGGGTCGCTATGACTCAGGGCCGACTTGGCGGCACATAACAACAACATTGCAAGTAACACAGCTTCAGTTTTTTGTAAAGGTACGGCTCACTTCTAATGGCGCGTGGTCTTAGTCCCCATCAAGCACACCAACCACGGTATCAGGAAGCTGACTCAAAGCCCAGGCCAGGAACTGTTTTATGCCCACCGCTCCCTCCCAGAGCTTGGCGGCACCTCACAGCAACAGAAGCAGCATAATTAGGCGGCGGACCGAGCTCTCACGAGGGGCCGGGCACTTGGAGGCACTAACAGCATCTTATTTAAGCCTCTGAGACTGGCCCCTGAGGTACCCCTCCTGGGGGATAAGTGATTCTTTCAAAGTTACCACATAAGTAAGTGGTGAGTGGGGATTTAAAGGGAGGACTGAGAGATCTCATGACAGGCATTCAACAAGTATTTGACGAAAGAAATCAGCCCATACAAACAGCGGCAGTCCATAATCTGTTAGTGTTGCACAGCTAAACATATCTGCTAGTGGTTGGTTTCACTTCTGAAATTTCAAGATAGAAATATTACACTCTACAGGTGCATATGGAATTATCACCAACTGACTGAGTGAAAAGACCTAGTTGCATGGTTTCATATTCTAGGCATTACTGACTTCGCTGTTGTTATTTGTCTTCAAGTTGGACCTGACTCATAGTGACCCCTCCTTGGGTTTCCGAGGCAGTATCACCAAGGAAGTAGATTGCCCAACCTTCCTTCCAAAGAGTGGCTGGTGGGTTTGAACCGCCAGCCTTCTGGTTAGCAGTCAAGTACTTTAGGCACTACCCTGCTAGAGCTCCTATTATTGACTTAGCGTTTCAAATTTTTAAAGAAAATTCAAGTAATTAAAAATGTTACTAAGAAAAAATGACATGTGTTTATTTCATTCAGCATGCAAAAGGTCAAAATTTCATTTAAACGAATCTATCAATTTCACACTTCTTGAACCAATTAACTGAACAAGTTTTAGTCAAATGACACAATTTACAAACTGGCTGCCACTGAGTTCATTCTGACTCGGGCCACCCCATGTGTTACAGAGTAGAACTACTCCATAGGGCTTTCTTGGCAAAACCCTATGGAAAGTAAAAACTTCGTTTTAAAAGGTTTTTTTTAAACACACACACACACACACACACAAACTGAACATATCTATATTCCTAAGAGAAACATACAATTTCTAGTTATTTACATAGGACCATCAAGTGTTAACATCCTTCACGTGTCAGTCTGACAAGTCAGGCTGATGGGCATCTTAACAGAAAAACGGTTGTTTAATTGTTCTCGCATCTCAAATAGTTCTACAAGCCATTTCAAATGTCAGACTTGCAGCTATTCATAAATTCATTTAGAAGCCTAAAAGCACAATCAGTACTAACAAGTTTGAAGAACACTAACCAAAAAGATCAGAGATACCCGAACCCTGCCTGGGACTCAACACACTTAAGAACGTACCAGCTGCATTCTCACTTTGATGCAACTGGTCGTGATTCTCCGAGCTTCCTTGTGAAACCCAAAACTACACGCGCAACGCTGAAACGCACTTTGCTCGGATTACACTGAGATTCTTGTTTCTACGAGAGGAAAAAAAAAAATTGCATAAGACAACTCTTGTCTTCCCTTAGGGCCTGGAACCCCCTCAGCCAGTAATGAAAAGAAATGCCTTGAGTCACGGGGCAATTCAGTTCAGGAAGCCTGCTCTGCTACATCCCATACCTAACGCACCAAGCGGTGGCCAATTTTTCTTTTTTTTTTGGGGGGGGGGACCACACCATGTTTCACAAAAAGAACAGTCTTCATCATACCCAGGTCCTTCCTTCACAGCTAAAATCTCAGACGTTTCCCCCAGAGAGCAAACTGACAACAGCAACTCCAAAAGGTGAGATCGGAACTTTAGGGGGCAGCGGAAACATGGGAATGGGGGAGGAACAACTTTGAAAAGGAGGGGTAGCTCCCAGAATGTACTCCACGTCACTGAATGGTACAAGGCGAAACTAACTGTTGAATGTGGACGTCCTACTGCGTGCAGTCTCAACAACAAAATGAAATAAAATAAAATACTGAAGGAAAAAAAATAAAGGCTTCTCCAAAAAATTGCAAAAAATAATCATTTAAAAACCCCAGAAGTGGTTAAGTGCCGTTCGAAGAAACCTTCTAATGAAGTTCAGGGTCGCCAACCCCGCCCAGGAACACACTCACCCAATTATCAACCGGACCACCGTTACCCAGAAAGCGCTCAAAGCGGGGAACGGGGAGCAAGAGGGTCCGGGGAAAACCAAGGAAGGTCCTTTTTCAAAAAAACTAAGGCGAGTCTAAATCCCACCTAATGGACACGCCAAAGAGAGAGTCGGGAAGCAGCGCTGGCAGGGGAGTTAGCCGTTCGGCGACTCGGGCCCGACGGTCACCACGGGCCGCGGAGCACGGCCGAAACAGGAGGGTGGAGTTCACTTTCCCTCTGGTCCGCGCTCATTCCCTCCCCCACTTACCAAAAAAAAAAAAACTCACTGCCGTAGAGTCAGATCCGACTCATAGTGACCCCAAAAAAAAAAAAAAGGCAGAACCAGGCCCGCGCCGCCGGGTCCCGGGAAGAAGGGGAGGGGACCCCCGCCGCCGCCCGGCCCGGGAAGGGGAGGTCGGGTCCGGTCCCTACGCAAGCCCGCGGCTCCGGCCTCCCCGGCCAGGCCCGACCCCCCACCCGCGGCCCGATCCCGCGCGCGGCCCGACTCCCGCCCGCAGCCGCCCTGCCGGGCCCAGCGCACTCACCCGTCTCCCACCACCACACACTTGATGGCCTGCATCTGGGCCGCTCGCGGGGAGGCGACGGCGGCCGCGCGCTGATGTGAGAAGCGGCGGACGCGGGGCGCGGCGGGCTGGCGCGCGGCTGCGGGCGGCGGGCCGTGGGGTGCCGGGACCGCTGTCCACGCCGCCTCGCGCTCAGCAGACTGTGAGCCGGAGCGCAGCGGCAGCCACCACCCAAAGCTGGAGGAAAACTGCAGAGAAACAGGAAATGGCCGCTCCACTCACATCCGGCCTCCCCTCCCCCTCGCCGGCGCCGCCGCTCCCAGGCTCCCGGGCGGGGCAGCGCCCGCCCGCCCGCCCGCACGGCTCCCGGGAGCTCCTCTGGGCTTCGGCGACGCCCGGAAACTCTCGGAAGCGCTCGGAAACGCTCGGCTACGGCCGCGAGGCTGGCCTCCGAAGGCCGCGGGGAGGGCGGGGCTCCTCTAGGCTTCGGAAACGCTCGGGAGCGCTCGGAAGCTGATGGGTGGGCCGCCATCTTGAGGGCCACTCGCCTGGTCTTGGTCTGGCGAGGCCCTCACTTTGGGCACCGGGTCTGGAGGCCTGTTTTCGGCGCAGGAGACTTAGGCATCTAAAGCGCCGACTTCCAGTAACCACGCTTCCGGTGACCAGCTCCAGTTCGAAGCCATCTGAAGGGTATTGATTCTAGCTCACACTTTTTATTATCCTTTTTAATATGCCGGTCGACGTAAGGCCTTTCTAGAAAATTCGGAATCGAAAACTATAAAGAAGAATCAAAACATAGCTCGTAACATTACTCAGAGCTAACCCATGTTCATTGAATAAAAAATGTGTTGGATTTTCTTCCCACTCACATGCATCTCGTATTACTATTAATGCGTTGAGAGCCGACAGGGCCCGTTTACTGCCAAGTTCTAGAGAGAAAACTGAGCACAAGTGCCTTTGTCTTTAAGGTGTCAGCAGACCACTAACATGAGAATATGTTGGCATATTTTCTAGTTTGTGTATGTATATAGCATATAGGGGAGCTCTGGTAGTGTAGTGCCTAAGGCACTTGACTGCTAACCAGAAGGCTGGCGGTTCAAACCCACCAGCCACTCCTCGGAAGGAAGGTTGGGCAACCTACTTCTGTAGTGATATCGCCCCTGCAACCCAAGGAGGGGTCGCTATGAGTCGGATCCCACTCGTTGGCAGTGAGTTTGGTTTGGTTTTGTATATAATATACACGCCCACACATCCATAGGGAACATTTTAAAATTGAGATCATACCGAATCATTGTTAGAACATTGTTAATGGCTGCGTACTATTCCATTATGCGCACTTACTTTCATTAATTTAACCAAGTTCTGTCACTGGACAGTTGGGATGCTGCTCATCTTTATGGTACACCATGCTGGGATGAGCGTGTTTGTGGTAGAAACTTTACCTGTATACAGTTTTATTTCTTTAGACTGCCAATAACCAGTTGTTTAGGGATCCTGACTCACTGGAATCCCATGTGTGTCAGAGTAGAACTGTGCCCCGTGGAGTTTTCAGTGGCTGACTCTTCGGAAGTAGGTCACCAGGCCTTTTTTGGAGGTGCCCGTGGCTGGACTTGACCTGTGAACTTTCCCTTACTGGCCACCCTCATTAGCCATTTGCATGACCACTTTCCTATAAATGGAGTTACTGGGCCAATAAGGAGTGCTGGTAGCACAGTGCCTAACGCATCTGACTGCTAACCAGAAGGTTAGTGGTTCAAACCCACTAGCCACTCCACGGAAGCAAGACAGGGAAGTGTACTTCTGTAAAGATTTACTGCCTCGGAAACCCAGTGCGGGTCGCTGAGTCAGCATCTACTCGACGGTGGTGGGTTTTTTGGGTCAATCCATGTTGTGTTGCCCTTCTGAATGCTAATAACCAGTTTACACTCCCCTCAGCCCAGCTGGAGAGTAGCCTCTCCAAGGGAGTTGATTTCTGCTTGTATTTGCATCATGTAGGCCCTTCTGTCCCCATAACTTACTCAGTTGTCGGGTATTATAACAGTTTCCTGAAATCAGACTCTTTCTATACATATATATATATATATATATATATATATATTTTAAATTTATTTTTGGATCACAATTATTTCAAAATAAACATGTTCTCAGGGCAAAGGACACCTTCTTTTTGCTCTGTTCATAGAGGTCCCCATTGAGGAATAGTTGAAATTTCAGAAGTGGTAGGTAGAGGAGCAGCCGTCACTGCTAGGGAGTTTTCTAGTTGGTAAGCATAACTATGCAGGTTAATTACCTTTGTGTCTAACCTAGAGCGTTTTCTAGCTGACAAGCATAACTATGCAGGATAATTACCTTCGTGTCTAACCAGGGGCAAATAAGCGGGTGGTACCTCATGTCACTCATTCAATTCAGGAAACATCTGGGTTGGGCTGCTGCTTGCGTAATGGACTGATAGTGAATGACTCACGCAGATGCAGTTGCCCGAATACCAGGCTCACTGTGCTCACTGCCATAAGCGGGTTACGATAAAGTGGTTACAGGAAGGTTGGGCAATCTACTTCCAGGGTGATACCGCCTGGGAAAGCCAAGCAGGGGGTCGCTGTGAGTCGGGTCCAACTCGACGGCACAACAACAATAGGAGACAAAAGCATGGAAAAGACATTCTCACTCACAAGAAAGCTTCCCTCAGAGATGGTGGTTAATCTGAGAGCTGGAGGAACAGACTTGGGTAGGATTTTTGGTGGGTATTCATGGAGGAGTGAGAAGAAAAGCATTCTCCACAGAGAGAACAACGTCCTGGAAGTCAGAGGCTACACCGTGGCCAGCAGGAGAGTGAGCCGTCCTCAGGTGGGACACAGGCAAAGACACGGCTCGAGTCCAGAGAAGTAACCGCAGGCTGCGTTACAAACGGCCTTGAGTGTGGACTTTATCCTGATACTGATCCAAGGAGCGACGTGATCCCATTCAGACGATTATTTTTCCAGATCGGGAAAATGAAAGTCCATCCCACCACACGGCCGACTGTGACTGCGAAGCAACCAAACAGATGTGCAGCGCACGTAGGAAGGTCAGTCTTCATGCAAACTCAGTGGTCACACTTCACCAAGTTGCCCCCTGGAGTATGTAGGTGTAATTTTCCTCATGGCAACAAATGATCAAGAAACGCTCAGTTAAAATTAATAAAAGCAAATACTCTTATCAGACCCTGTGTGTTTCTGAATGCGCTACCTGGTTAACTCACTTAGCAAGGGTCTGGAATCCTGTACCCTGTTTAGATCATTCATTCAAGGTCATTCATTGACTCATTTCCTGTGTGCCCACTCTGTTCCATTCACTGTCTAGGCATTGAAAGTGTGAAATGAACAGAGTCCAGGCTAAGATGATGGAGCTATATCTAATTTCACAGGTATCTGATTTCCCTTCCACCAAAAACCTCATAAGACCTTCACTAAAAGGGATTTAAAAAAAAAAAAAAAGACATAATCTTAGAACAGCGAGAACAGGGAAGACTGATGTCGGGAGCTGACACAAGATTGAGGGGATGGACTGGTGGCAGCCAACTTAGACAGCGGAAGCAGCCCTAGACTGGCAGTGGGAGAGGGTGCTCAGAACCAGATCTCTGCCACAGAAATGTGGAGGGTCACAGCTAGCGGCACGGGGTCCCTGTGGATGAAGGGAGAGGAAGATACAGAGGATTAGATGGGAGCTGAGAAGCTGCTTCGCCTCCCACCATGCGCTTGGCAGGGGGATCACCTTCCATCTCCCCTAGAAAAGACTGGTTTCTATCTAAACATGGTGAACCCAGGGGGGTCTTTAGAGTAAGGGCCTCTAGGCACAGGGCCTGGATAACAAAATAAAAACCAAGGGACGTAGTAGGCTTAGGCTGAATCTTTCGTCCCTCCCAGCTTGCCTCTCTCCCTGGGTGGCTCCCGGAAGGCTGACAGATACACCCTTCCCTTGGAGGGTCCCAGGCTTTTCTCTGGGAACCTGCCCAGCTCAGGAGGGAAAAACACATAGCTGTGTGGGGAGGGGTCTCCCACAAGCCCCTCCAGCCTCAACAATAGCTGGGAGAACCTCCAGAAGGGAAGCCAGAAATCAAAATAAACAAACAAATCAAACTAACCCAAGCTGGGAAAAACAAAAACAGGGCAGGGAGAAGAAAACTTGAAAAAGGAACGTTTGAGAGATTGAGGGGGAAAAAAGACCTCTTGGAAATGAAAAGCAAGCTAGCAAGAATGAAAACGCGAGAGAAAGGTTGAAGCACCAGCTTGAGGAAATTTCCCAGAAAGACCCAGAGCACAGAGAGAAAACAGGAGGGAAAGTGTAAGAACTTTGTACGGTCCAAAGAAAGTCTAGAAAGAAAAGAACATAGGAGCAGCAAAGGAAGAACTCATTGGCGAATATCCAAGAACATGTTCCAATCCAGAAGGACAGGAGTTTACAGGTTGAACGTGCAGAACCAGAGAAGGAAAACAGACCCACCCCACAGCGCAACAATGGGAACTGATAAGATTCTACAAGCTTCCAAAGAGAAGGCACAGGAAGCAGAATGGCTTCAAGTTTCCTAACAGTTACCCTAGTGGAGCCCTGCCTTCAAAATCCTCAAGACCCTCCCAGGGCCTAAGGATTGCTCAAGTGGGAGAGTGAAATGAGAACATTTTCGCAAGAGCCGTAAGTTGGAAACAGCCCAAGTGCCCATAAACAAAGGAATGGGTAGATAAAATGGACTGGAATGTCAACCATAAAGAGAAATGGAGTCCCACTGCGTGCCACAATATGCGTGAACCTTGACGTCACACTGAGTGAAATCAAAAGGCAAAATCATCTGATCCCGTTTATATGAAGCCAACTCGAGGGCAAACAACAACAACAAATAGAAACTAAGTGCATTGGTGGTTACCATGAGTGGGAGGGAGGGGAAGAGGGAGTCTGCTTAGGGGGCCCTGAGTTTCAATGGCTAATAGTGATGGTTGACCAGCATGGTGAACATAACCAGTGGCACTGAATTGTACGTGTGAAAAATGCTGAATTGGTGAATGTTTATGTGTGTAGCTATCACCAGAATGAAACAAATTTTAAAAAAGAGAGGAAATAAGAACAGTTTCATATATGTATATATCACCAGAATGAAACAAATTTTTAAAAAGAGAGGAAATAAGAACACTTTGAGACAAGAAAGTTGTCAAAAGGTTTTATCTCCCACACACCATTTCCCAGGCAGCTGGCACAACATGTGTTTCTCCAAAAGGAAGAGAAACCAAGAAGCCTTGGGACAGGGAAACCAGAGATCCACACAG